ACGAAAAGAATTTTTTCGGATCAATACGGAAATTTGTACTACATTGGGAAAGATAAAGGTTATAACATTGACTATTGATAGTAAGAAATTTAGAATGAAATGGCGAGTATTGAGCAAAGTCAGATAAGGAACAAGTTCTCTGGTAATTTTTATATAGCCGGGATTTTTTATTTTTTAGGTAGGACAGATACTTGGAGAATCAGGGCGGCTTGGAGGATACCTGAACGGTAACTTCAGGAACATAGCTGTTGAGAGCAGAGTTTAACGTGTCATAAAACGAGTTGACTATTCCATTTATATCTGATAACGACTGAAGAAATGACCAATCAATTTGCAAAAAATGTAAACTTAAATCGGTGAAATTCGTTTTACGAAAACACTTTATTCGATTTGTTGAAGGTATAATGGAATTAATATTCGAAAGCTCGACAACTATAGACAAAGTTGGATGGTGCGGATCTTCAGGGAAAAGACATAGGACTACCTCTGACAACCGTTGCTCGAGAAGCATCGCTAACGAAAGTGAGATTTAACAGTCTACCTCTACTGTTTTTGACGGAATTAATTTGGGAAAGGGAAACATCAATTATACCATCAACAAAATGTTGACTACCAGGTAATAGCATGTTTGATTCATGCTGCTGCCAAGATAGAAGTGGTATGTTGAAGTCACCCATTACTATAATATGATCAGCGCAACCTGAAGCAGGAACCACAGAATGAAAGACAGAAAGGTGGTTCAAATAAACAACAGCATCAGATCTAGGAGGAATGTATTAACAGTAGGCTGGGACAACAAAATTTTTTTTCGAAATTCAAACGGGACACCCCCTAGTTTTGTTACCTTAGATTTAATAGTTATCTACATGTTTTTATTTTTATTTTTTAAAATTTTTTTATAGTTTGCTACCGAGTTTAAACAAAAATGTTGGATAATTGGTGAAATCTATTGCATATATATTGATAACATTCATATCGTCATTGGCAGTAAAAAACCTGTACAAGTTTTTGCAAACAAGTTAACTAAATATATCAACATCAGCTGAACTTCTTGATTTTCAACAATCGTTAATTTTTTAACAGTAACTAAAAAAAAAAATACATTTTTATCAATATGAACTAGTTTCTAAGTTTCAATATTTTTTCGAAAAACCCGACGATTTACTTTTTTTTTTTTTCCCAAAATTTTGTATTTTTTTTTAATGGTAGCAACCCCCAAACAATAAACTGAAAAAAAATTGTATAATTTTATTGAATAACAAAAAACAGAATTTTGGGGGTGTCCCCTTGAAAAAATTTGTTGGTCAAATTTTGGCCCCGCCTAATGAACAGGTTAAAAAGATAAACGACGCTCCAATACGGATTTTGACTGCTACAAATTCAATTTCATGGGTGTTGTTAAAGGGAAACAGCTCGGACGCAAAATCATTTTTTACTGCAATAAGAACCGCACCAGCAAATTATGGGTGATCCATTCTGTAGGTGGTGAACTTGTGGACGAAAATTTTATGATCGGAGACGGAAGAGTTAAGCCGGGTATCAGTTATAGCTATAGCGTCGAGGCACTATCCGTATATATTTTGGTCAATTTACCCAAAATACTGCGTAAATTCTGATATTGGATGGCGAAATGGTTCCTCAGTTTTTTGAAATCTTAGGGAGAGTGACTCTAGGACTCTGGGAAGAATTTCTTATCAGAAATGCTCAGGCCATTCGGACGGTTCCAGGGCTTTGGATAGAAGAGAATCGGGAAGCTTCAGCCAAAGCAATGGATGGAACAGGAACGGTGGCAGGAACAGTGAGGACAGTGAGTCCCGGGGCAGAAACGAAAGCATTTTCAATAGATACTGGTGGAACAGGAACAGTGGGGACGTCATAGCACATACGCACACTGGAAGCACTAACAGCGGTGTCAGCAGTGATAGATGCAGTGAGTGGCATAACATTGTTAGTCGGTGTGAGAAACCGATTGATTTCCGGCAAGGCATGACCACTCGGCGAAGCCAAGGATGCCGATGTATGTAGGTGAGAAGAAGGCGTTCCGATTCCAATAGGTTGCAAGAATTTGTTGTTATCGGTGTTAGGGATTTTCCGTCTAGGAGATTCACTCAGAAGCTTGAGGCCAAGAAATTGAGATTCCAAGGTCAGGAACTTCTCGTTGAGAGCGACAAATATCTTCCGGACATCCAGAAAGCCAGTACGAGTCTGCCTCGTAAAAGTGCGCATTTCAGTCTCAATCTCCCAGCAGGCCAAACATGACCAAGTCAGACCCATACGTTTTGAGATGAGATCGTGTAGTCGTCCAAAATTACCACCACCAGCACATTTTATATGGGCGACATTGTCGCATAGCCAGCAGCTGAGGAATGAATCGCTGACTAGGTTGCCACCGAATTCGCATTTCTTTGCACTGCAGACCACAACCATTTTTGACAGCAGTTCAATCACTGTGCACGAAGAAGAACGCAAAGTCGGAGCGCAAGCTATATGAGAGAGCGGACAGCAGAGCGAGCGACGATCAGCAGCAGCGGCAGACGATCCAGCGAGGTGACGAAAACAAACGGTGAAGCTCACGACAGCAGAGACACCGAAAGAGTAATTGAAGAAGAATGCAGGCAAATCCAGAGAGTGAGAGCAAGAGAGCTTGCACTAGTGCGCTCCAGAACGTGTGTAAGTAGGCGATGCAGCAGGCACACGAGCGATGAGCACAGAGAGCTATTTGGATCAAGTCCAAAGCGGAATGGATAAAAGCACTAACAAATTCTTTGAGCAGGTTTGTTTAACGATCGGAATGTTTAATTATATTGAATCAATTTTTAGCAAGTGAAACACATATAACACAGATAACAGTGATCAGCTATGATAGGTTCAATGATGTAAACAATTACACTACTCGACAAAATCGAACTTTTTTTTTCCTCAAGGATCCAAACCGACTTTTTCTGATAGATATGGAGATTTAAAATTTTTTAAAGAATTATGTTTTTTTTTCTATGGAACAGAACTTTTTTTTGAAACATTTTTGAAGTCTGGTATTTTTTTTTAAAGCTTTTTCAGAGGAAGCGCTTGTTTTTTTCACATAACTCTAGTATCTTACGTCTGGTTGTAAAGAACTTTGATATTTTGAAAAGATAATTAAAACCGCTAGAAGTTAAGCCTAAACACTTTGTGATTTCAGCTTACCGTCTGGGAAATATAAAGCATTGAAATGCAAAAATGATGATTTTTGTGCGGTATTTTTTACGAAATTTTGACTTTAAAAACTCAGGAAAAGTCGAAAAAGTCGTTCAAGGTATCGCTCATTAAAATCTATGGAGAGACTTTGGAGCTAAAATTCGTTAACCAAACCTAAAATATGGAAAAAATGAACAAAAAATACCTTTTCGAAGGTTGCGGGCCAAACTGCCAATTGGGAACAAAGCAAACAAAAAAGGGTTGTACATTTGGTACCTGATCGCGATCCCAATTCCCAATGGGAATTGGGCTCGCAACCTTCCAAAAGTTATTTTTTGTTCATTTTTTCCATATTTTAGGTTTGGTTAACGAATTTTAGCTCCAAAGTCTCTCCATAGATTTTAATGAGCGATACCTTGAACGACGCCAAATTAATGCACCTATACACAAAAAAATAAAGGACACAGGATATAATTTTTTTTTCACTTTTCCTGAGTTTTTAAAGTAAAAATTTCGAAAAATACCGCACAAAAATCTTTATTTTTGCATTTCAATGCTTTATATTTCCCAGACGGTAAGCTGAAATCACAAAGTGTTTAGGCTTAACTTCTAGCGGTTTTAATTATCTTTTCAAAATAGCAAAGTTCTTTACAACCAGACGTAAGATACTAGAGTTATGTGAAAAAAACAAGCGCTTCCTCTGAAAAAAGCTTAAAAAAAAATACCAGTTTTCAAAAATTCTTTAAAAAAAAGTTCTGCCATAGAAACAAAAAAATATCATCAAACCACTTCTAAGCCCCAAATCTTTAAGAAAAAGTTCGTTTTGTTCCTTGAGGAAAAATCGTGTTGACTAGTGTTATTAGCAATTAAATGTAGAGTTATTATCGCAAAAATGCAGAAAAGGCAGGAGCGAGATGAATTGCTTAAGAAATTGCCAATTGACAGGGGTATACTATATACCCCTACATTTTCCTGAGTTTCTTTTTTTACATGCTCTTTGAATATTCCTTTACCTAAGTTTAAAAGCGCGTTTTGCGCAGCTGACCCGTTCGGCTTCTAGAGAACCAAAAATTAGATGGCTTGGAAAATAATTTTTTTCTTTATAACTATATATATATATATTAACTTTATAAAAGTAAATAAACCTAGTAATAGATACCAAAAACAAAATCATACGTTACATGCAAATAAATTTGTACTGCTTGTGCGCTGCCACACGTACAAAAACATACAACAAAATAGCTATAATCACATACAATATTGCCTAAACGATTTCTTTCTACTTAGTTAATTCACAAAAAAATAAAATATGAATAAAACGTTATCTATACATACATTTGTACACATAATTGAATACTAAAATATGAGTCAAAACAAAATTGTGAAGTCAATAGCAATATGCATACATTGCGCAAAGTAAGTCAATAGTCTCAGTGTAACTAAAAAATATAATCATAATTAAAGGCAGTATTATAAATTGACAAATGAAAATAATTCATACAACGTATCAATACATTTTCTATACAATTAAAATATAGTTATGTTTACATACGCACAGACATAAATACAAATATTTAAATGACCAAAGTTATTGAAAAAAAATATTCTTGTATTTATTTTAATCACATCCATGATGTTAGACCATAACGATATACAAAGCTTCATTGTTTGAATCATTGTTTTTTAAATTACAAAATTTAAGCGAACATTTGTGGGAGTTTTATGTAACAATTGTAACTCAATGAATCGGAGTAAAAGTGGATGTGTTTACAATTAAATAAGAAAATAAGCAAGCTAAATATATGTAAGTTATTCAATGCAAATACCATTAACTTTTAGCTGTGCAGAGTGCGTTACAGTTGCGGCGTCGTTTTGAACGCGACATGTGTACGTGCCGCTTTGGGCCCACGTCACACTTGTGATGCTTAGGGCACTGGTGAAATCATCATTTTGGCGAATTGTCACTAGGCCACTACCTTCACCACCGCTACGACCATTTTCATTCGAAACGATGTGTTCATATTGTTGTTGAAAAGTTGTCGGTGAGGAGGAAGAGATGGATGAGGTTGATACAAAGCCAGAACTCATAACAGCAGCGCCACCGGTACCACTAAGCCCACCGCTAACACCATCGGATGAGGCGGTTGCTTGCAGAAGATGCCCGTCCTTTAGCCACGTGAATGAAAGCGGCAGGTCCCCGGTGCCAATAACGCACTGAATGCTTGTACGGTCGCCGACATTCAGATCGCGTGCGAATGAGAATGGTGTAATCTTGGGCGGAACTGCGTGTTTAACATCAAAACCATTTTTAAATACAGCAGATTTAACATATTTATAGAGACTCAAAAGTATTGCCCGTTTGTATATTTAACTTCCAATGTAAATATTGAAATACGTGCATACATGTGTTTTAAGATGCACTTACATGTACATACATATGTATATACACAGTATGTATCAAAATTCATACATACATAATAAGTATGTAAGATGTGTTGATTGAAAAATTCTATACTAAGAGTCAAAAATCACACCTGTGGTGAGGCTAACGGCAGCATTTTCAGTGAATTGGTCAGTTTCTCCTCCCAAATTTCGTGTTTTGTGCTATTATAAGAACATAATATTTTACAAAATAAATGAGAATTTGCCTTAAACATCCTATGGACACGATAACCAGGATGATGAACTGACCAAAACTCAAAGCCCAATAATGAAAATAGTCCCAGTTGGATTGTACTTTCCGGCTCAAAAGCGTTTTTTGTCCGCACAACTGTCGATAGGGCTTAAATGACGCTTCTTTCCATGCGTGTTTTGTGCATTTATTGGTGCAGTGCAGACGATAAATTAGTGCAGGCAATTGCCAAATATTGTAAAAGAATTTGCAAAAGTAGCAAATAAGTGGAGACAAAAAAGATTATCAATGACAAACGCATGTGAAAGTTTGCCCGAATGGAGTTATTTGACATCCAATATTAATGAATAGAATTTCATCCATTGTTAATTATATAAAAAAAATACAAAAAACGTGCTTCATGCGTAAGAATTTTATGAATTTGTCTAATGCACCACTTTTATCTTCAGTATAGTGTCAACACCAATTATAAAATAAGGGATATGTACATACATACGCGTTCAATCATGTGTATAAGTATGTTGAATATGTAAATATGTCTATCGAAGATTCATAAAAATTAGAGCCCGGCATGAATCCACAATATATTCGCCTCCTTTGTTTGCTGTAGTGCTTTACACTAACATTATTAAAATAAAGTATCCGTAAAATGGAACGAAAAAATCACTGAATTAATCTGAAACATATTCTATGTATTCCTCGAAACCATTTGTCGTAGGTCAATCAAAAAGAAAGAGATCAGAAGATTTTGCATATCTCCAATGGTAGCAAGAGTTTGTATACATATATTTTTATCGAAAGATTACCCTTTTATCTAACTTTTATTGTGTAAAATATCTTGTGTTTTTTAGCAACATTAAGATGATGGATGCATTATGCTCACAGTTCCTACACCAATGTAGATAATTGTTTCGCTATTAGCACGAAAACTGAATATTTGTAAACGAATATGATTCCCAATACTCAGAGCCGTAGCATCTGCTGGTTGTCCGAGTTTACGGAGGGTTGTGCTCCACAACCAAGACCTCTCCCTTACATATGGGCATTTCCGACAAATGATCAACCAGGACCGAAAAATAAAATATTCATAATCATCGTATTTTTTTGTGTATACTTGTAAAAAAATGTCAAAGTTTGCATAATACAATGGTTCCATAGCATATCTCAGTTGTTTTCCTGAGGAAATTGCCTGAACACTTTTAGCTATTTTTAAAGGCATTTTTATATATAAATATTTTACACGTAAAACATGGCTATGTTTGCACTCTTTCTACCAACTTTTTTGTATTGCAATCTATTAAAAAGAGGAAAATGCGAAGAAACCGAAAAAAAGTTTTATTAACGGTTAATTTTAATTTTTCTTCTTATCTACAATTGTTCTAATCATGAGTTCGCGACCGAAAATATCATTTAATTGTAATCTCTCGCATTTAATGCAATCAGGTGGCTGAAACTAAGTGTGTTAAGTAAGTTTGGTGTTAATAATTTAAATATAAAATTTTTACTTTTTAGCAGAATTTTTTATTATACCCGTACTCAAAAAAGATTTAAGGGGTATATTAGATTTGTGGTAAAAGTGGATGTGTGCAACGCAGAGAAGGAAACGTTTCCGACCCCATAAGGTATATATATTCTTGATCAGCATCAATAGCCGAGTCGATATAGCCATGTCCGTCTGTCCGTCTTAAGGAGCTCCTAGATCTCAGAGACTAAAAGAGCTACAGAAACCAAATTTGGTTTCCAGACTCATTTGATATCACAAGTGTATTTCAAAATTTCGCCCCGCCCCCTTCCGGACCAACAAAGGAAGAAAATCTTTGGCAGGCACAATTTTAAAGATACGATAAAACTAAAAACGCAGTATCGTAGAGAATGCCCATATCTACAGATCTACAATCTGAATCAGATCGGATCATAATTATAGCTAAAATTCCGATGATCCTATTGGGCTTTGAGGTGGCTCAGAGGGGGCCTAGCTGAGGCCACCGGACGGGTCGCAGGTTGCGGATAGCGAACGGCCTACCCTAGTGGGTAGGTCAGCTGCGAATAAGCGGGCATCTTAAAGAGTATCAACTAAGTTGGCTCTGAGGGAGAGTACCGAAATAACCAGTCCCGGACAGCCAGCGGGTGTTCGCGACGCAGCAACACTGACGATGCGCTTGTGGGGCCGCCTCTCATTAAGTAGCTCACACAATCCCATCCCTACACAACACCTACCCACATCCCAGCCCCAACACTCACCTCACACCGGGCCGGACTAAGGTGTCACTCACCCGTGCCAAGAGTCAGCCTGGCTGGGGCCCGTATAAAACTAGCCCAGTCGTGAACGGAGCTCAGGGACTTGGCAGCCCCTGTTCTAATTATGCCTTACCCGGGTAACGCAGAGCTCTGCCGGGGGACCGTTCCCCTTCTCTGCAGCTCGTGGGAACTACATGGACAAATTCGATAACATAAACAATAACAAAAACAAAAACGAGAGAGGCACTCCCCAAATGCCTACAGGGAGAAATCCCAAGCGAGAGAAGGCAACGGCCCAAAGGCCTGGCCAAATCCGCTCAGACGCAGGAAAGACCTGCACGGTGAAGGACGCGGGTATGAATCCGCGTGGGTCCCATCCCAAACCTGGGATGGGTGGAAAGCCAACACCCAAAACTGATACCATGGTAGGGCAGCTAAGCAATATTGCGGCTGCTCAACCTTCCGGTGAAGCGGCGGGTGATGGCTTGCCATCAACCAGCGTCCAAACCAAAAAATTCAGCTATGCCGAAAAGAGGAGTGCTGGGCACATACTCCGTCGGCAGAACGCCAGCCAGGAAGTCAGTCCAACAGCAGACTGGCTGAAGAAAGTGGAATGGGCCGCGGTGGTGTTGCCCAACTTCAGTGTGGAGCCACAGAAGGTGGCCGCACAACCGAAGAGGCAGCGCTCTCAAGAGACGCCCGGACCTGTCGCGAAGCGATCCAGGGTTATACCAAATGTATCCTTCGCGCAGATTGCCAAGGAGAGGACGCTGATAGGCGATCTCGACAAAGGCAGCGCGGAGGGGAAAATACCCAGAAGCCAGTGGATGTGAGTGGAAGCGGCACTGGCCAACCGCTGCTTCGAGCTTCTAGAGAAGGATCCCGGGCCACCCCCAGTCTGCAAAGACATGGGATGGTTCCAGGGGAGCATCAAAGTGGTAGCCTGCGAGGATGAGCGCTCCGTAAAGCTATACAAAGCTGCGGTGGCGCAAATCGGTGAGGTCTACGCCGGGGCGAAGCTCGTCGCTGTAGACTGGAGCGAAGTGCCCAGTAGGCCAAGGGCCCGTATATGGGTACCGGCCACTTTCAAGGAGCCTGAGAGGATCCTCACGATGTTGCAGAGATGCAACCCCACACTGCCAACCTCAGATTGGAGGGTCAAAGTGGAGGCATCAAAGGGCCCCACAAATCAGGCGGTGGTTGTACTGAACAAGGAATCGCTAGCCCCGATCGAGGCAGCCAGGGGAGAGCTTAACTTCGGGTTCAGCTCGGTGACCATGAAGGTCTATAAGTCGGATGCAGCGACCGAGGCGCGTTCTGTCAACAACCCAGTTGAGCAGGACGTTGCCTTGGAGATCGAGGCACGCGAATTAGACCCGGAGCCGGAGCCGGCCCTGGAGAGCTACTCCTCGGAGACGGAGCTGATGCTCGATTTTGAGGCGTTGTGTCGGGACGAGATACTCGACGACTCTGACGCCGACATAGCAGTGGTGGAGAACGTTTCTAATGAAGTCTCTGAGGCTTCTGCAGATAAATCTCCACCACTGTAAAGCAGCATCCGCTGCCCTGATACTCCGCTTAGTCGTAAGCGGAGGGGACATAGTCCTAATCCAAGAGCCCTGGGTGGTAGGAGGCAGGGTCTGTGGATTAGCGACGAAGGACTACAAGCTGATCGTAGCCCAAACTGAAGGTAAAATCAGAACCTGCATATTAGCAAGAAAGCACCTAAATATCTTTCTGCTCCACAATTTTAGCAATGGCGACAATACGGCAGCTAGCCTAGAGCTACAAGGGACACGCCTAAACCTGGTGTCGTCCTACATGGCTCACGAGGAAAGCGATCCTCCCAGTGACCTCGTTCGCAAGATTGCCAGCGACAGCGAGAGGTCGGATACAAGCCTACTAATAGGCTGCGATGCCAACGCTCATCACACCCAATGGGGAGCTCGGATACAAATGCAAGGGGTGAGTCACTTTTCAGCTTCATCCTGAACTCCAACCTAATTATCGGTAATCGGGGTAATGACCCCACTTTTATCATAAAAAACCGTCAAGAGGTTATTGACCTCACTCTATTGTCTCACAAACTGTCAGACATAATGGAAAGTTGGAGAGTCCTAGAGGACCACTCCTTCTCCGACCACAGGTACATCGAGACAATCCTATCGCTCGAAAGCACCATACCCACTAGCTATATTAATCCAAGGAAAGCCAACTGGAATATGTATAGTGCAAAAATGGAGGAATTACTCCCCCCCCCTAGCCACAAAATGCCCGGACACACAAGACGATCTTAATCGCCTTGTGGACAATTTCACGGAAGCTTGCAACAAGGCCTTAATGGCAGCTTGCCCCCCCAACCAAACCAAGAGGGAAAAAGAAACCCCCCTGGTGGTCTAAACATATAGATAC